TCTAAATTCCTTCAGAAATTCCTCCTCATCTTACACCCCTTCTTACATCGAGCAGATGTTCTGTCGTTTCATTCATTTCCCCTGTCATGATGCTACCCTGTCTCTCAGGCAATAAAATGAAGGATCCTGTAGCCATGTATTAAACTCAAGCGCAATACACACAGGTGAAAATGAGAATAGAAAAAAAAATCAAGATAGTCAGTCCCCTTCATTTGCCCTGGCTACTCCTGTCCCTAGCCCTAGAGTTTCTTGAGAACTGACTGTAAAGTTCCAGCACTTCCAAGGTCACGCTGCTCCTCCCCAGGGCCTCCCCGCAGTAACCCTCACGTCCACATCTAGAACCTGAGCTGCTTTCAAGCTCCCCTCTACCTCCTCGCTTAGGACCGCACTCCCATGAACAGCAAGCCCAGAATCACAGGCTTTCCCTCTGACCCAAAGCATCCGGCTCTTTGCAGCTGTCACCTGAGTGTCCCACCCCTGGCCACGTACCCGTGGACCTTGGCGGTGAAGCGCAGCACCTGCTCTGCTCTGGGCACTTCCACCACTCTCAACAGTTTTCTAAATCGGCTCGTGAGCGCAGTGGGTTTGGCACAGGACCTGCCAGTTCTTGCAAGGTAACTCTGGATTTGGAGAGGAGGTTTCAGAAAGCAGATGAGGCCAGTCAGTGACAAAACAGACTTCAATGTGGTGAAGCATCAGGGCCCGGCCACTGCCTCCACAGGCTGATCACTTAACTTGACAATGGGGCTGGGCCCAAAGTCACCCTCCCAGGTGGTAGATACAGAACCCGGGAAATCCTGGGTGGCAACTTATGTATAGTCATGGCCCGGTATTTTTAAACACCAGTGGCATATGTGTACTAGTAAAAATGGTTTAACTGCAAGGAAGTATCAGAAATGAAGACTGTTAATAATATTTCAAAAAAAAATTCTTGCTCCTATTTAACAGCTAGTGGGGAATTCTACAAGTACTCAGATACTTTATGCATTGTTCTACAATGCCGCTTGGTTCCTGTTAGAATACCTGCCCACTCACTTGCTAGGAAGGGACTGGTAACTGTACTTCATACTAAAATATTACTAGCAGTGTGTTTGTGACCTCCAGATCAAAGTATAGGAGAACTAGTGAGCTACTGCTATGCTTTTTGTTTTATTCAGCAGCCAACTTGGAGCAACTGTGTGGGGATGTGGACACTCAAAGGAAGCATCCTGGATCCTTATGTCACCTGACAGTGGAGATGCCAACCACCCCCATCAGGTTTTATGTGCATATGAAATAAAACTTTGTTGAATCATTCAAACATCAGACTTTCCCTATCACATCTCACACATACTTTAAGTACAGCTATCTTTATTGATAGTCTTATTTAAATGTATTAATTATAAAGCAATAAATAGGGCGATACATACTTGTTGCCAAAAAAATAAAATATTCTAATAGGGTGAAATCACATTCTGTTTCTTTACTGTGTTCCTGCAAAATGCATACCTCTCCAGAGGTACTACATTTAAAAAGTCTTCTGTGTGTACTTTTTAAAGATTTCAGTTAAATAATTTATTATTATTATTACTTTGTATAGCAGAACTAGGGTATAGTAGACCAGAGGTGGGGGGGGGAGAGGATTCCCCAGAGACAGAGAGGAGCAGAACAGGCAGATCTACTGAAATATACTGCTCAGGGGAGCAGTGTTGAGACAGGCGAGGTCTCCCATGCCATGTGGGTTAGCTTTCTGGTCGGGTTGCAAACTCAGGCTGTTGCTGCAGTGGGCCAGTGCAATAGCATTGAGACTTAAACCTAGGCCAGTAGGGAGGCCCTTGTTATTTTGTATTTCCTATTTCATAAATAGGTTGGGCAAGATCTTTGAAGTGGTATCTTAAATGCCAATACATGCTTTAAGAATTCTGATATGCCTATGATATTTTCTCCTAACTATGAGAAGCAAAGATTTCTAAGAATGACCAAGTGCCAAGCAATAGGTCTTCACCAGGAAGATATCAGTGAGTGAGAAATATAAGGGTGACTGAATGATAGAGCGATTTCCAGAGTCCATGAGAGATCACATATTAGAACAAGTCCAGGGAGCCCTGCAGTCAGGCACATGGGCCCAAACTTTAGCAAAAGGGAGAAAAGGTAACAGAAGGAGAGCTGGTGGAGTATCTAGTGGAGGGTTCCTGACAACTTCCATGAATAGGCTCAACAATCTCTGAATCCTCATTACAAGCCTGAAGCTGTGGATTGATTTGAGCAGGTAGATCTATTAGCTGAATGGAACAGAGGCATGCCTGATACCCTATCCTCCTTAGAAAGCCCTTTATGCAGCTGACAGTGGTTATACTTGTCTCCCTGGGTCCCCCACCAAGTGATGTTGCTGAAACAATCTGGAGGAGATCTGTCTCATCAAGGCTGAAAGTCGCCTTGCCATATCATGAAGGTAGCCAGTTTTTCCCATGTGTACTGAGGTCCTCCTACCACTGAACTTGAGGCTGTGCAAATATGTGGGAATGATTGGGGACTCAGGACAGTTAAAATAATGTACTAGTACTACTCATGAGTAGTGGAGGAGTGTATGCAAGTGAAAGTGGAAAAAGATGGAGGGGCAATTTCCTGAGGGTAATTACCTATGACTCTGAGACTAAAGGGCCAAGTGTGGACATGTCTTAACAAAACCATTCAGATCTTCTTCTTCCCAGATTAGACTGCCTCCTATGTTTCCTGACTTCTTTGTATATCAGAGGGTGGATATATATATATATATATATATATATATATATATATATATATGTCTGGTGACCTTTTCTTTACCACTGCACTGCAGTAAACGGTAAGCCCTTGAAGTAAACATGTACAGAATGGGTGGAGACTCATTGCAGAAGGTATGTTTCCTTGTTAAATTGGGGGTGGGGTGGCATTTATGTGCAGAGTCCAAAACTTTATCTTTATTATCATTATGAAACCTATTCAATTGAAGTGAAAATTAAAATGTGGGGGGAAGATTCTGTACAAGCCATTAAGCCATTCCAAAATTTATCACATGATCTACTCTAAATTCCACAGCACCATTCTGAAACCTGCAAAGGGATGGGACACGGATCATTTCAAGTAAAATTTGAAGAATTTGAGAGAGTTGTGAGGAAACCACTTAATGCATAAAAGAATGGATCGTCACAGACCCTTCTTCTCTATCCACATGTCTAAGCCCGTGCCTGGGTATAAGATACCGGCACTGCTTCACTTCATTGCTGACAACTGGGTTGAGAAACCAAGGGGTGTGATGCTTAAAGATAAAACCTTGACTTAAAGCTGGATGACTAAGATGAGGAGAGGGACAAGTTCCAGCTTTCCCAGGATTCAAGGGAAGACCCATATGTGAATTCTGCCAGTCCCCTACTCGTACAAACCATAGTTCATCCCACCACCTCCAAAAGTCATACCCCTCTTTCAGCCACAGATGGGAGTGGCCGGAAGTGGGCACTCTTAACTTCCGGGTGACTTCTGACATCAGGGGGCAAAGGTTGTCGTTGTTGCGAGGCAAACAGAGAGGAGTTCTGAGGAGGAGTTCGAGGTAAAAACAGTGAGAAAATTTTGAGGATACCCACTAATACCAAGAACAGGGAGTGTTAGACAACAGAAATTTCCCACTTACATAAGCCCAGAGGTGCCCTGGACAGGGATCACCTGATGTAGAACCCTTAGAATTCCTCCTAGTTGGGCTGAGGGAAATGGCGGAACTGGACATCAGGTGCTTAAGCAGTATAGTTGAGGACTCAGAATAAGATCTGAGGAAACCAAATAATAACAGGTATCCCTTCAAACCGTGGCTCTGCTATCAGACCTAGGAGCCCCGTTACGGCAGCGGCACGCAGTAAAAATTCCGTTATAAAATTCTCAGCATCTGAGGGAGGGGGAAAGATGGATACAAAGAGGACGGTATAAAGTTATGAAAAGCAGGGGGCCGCAACCCTGCCAGGAAATAAGATTAAAGACCGTTTGTGAGGTATGAGGGTAGCCGCTGTCCAGGGAGAGGGCACCCACAGAGTCCCACCCTGCCGTGAGCCATCACAGATCCTGGGCAAGGAACGTCTGATGTAGCGCACTCTGAGGTTTTTCTGTTGGCGCTTCAAAGGGGGAAAGGTATCAGACTCGGGTTTGGGAATATAGCCCAGCAGTTAAAGTGACCCGGGTCCTCAACAGACATAACGGCGAGGACCCTGAGGGCTGAGGGAATGACTAATTGCTCATGGGGGCAGGGCAGAGTCCCAACATGGCTAACAGCCCGAGAAGGGCTGAAGTGACCGGTGGCTAGACGTGAAACATACTAAAACTGACTTCTGGCTTGGGAAAAAAGTAAGAAGCTTTGCGGGAGGTGTGGGGGCTGGGATAATTACGTCAAGTTATCAAAGGAACTATTTCCTGGTCCTGCTCAGAGGTAATATGAGGAACATGAATTAAGTTTTAATAGTCATCCTGCCCCCAAATAGAAGGGATGCCGCAGAGTCCTGATGGGTCTGGAGAGGAATCAGCTAATGCAGTATGCCTCCCTGGTAGTGCAGCAGTTAACGTCTCAGCATTATGACACCATGGCCAGCCAGTGCAGTACCAGTTTGATCCCCGGGGCAGGGAACTGACCCATAAGGCACAGAAGACCTCTCCTGTCTCACTGTTGCTCTTCTGAGCAGTATATTTCAGTAGATCCACCTGTTCTGCTCCCCACTCTGTCTTTGGTGAATCCTCTCATCCTGTCCCACCCACCCCCACCTCTGGCCTATTTTATGCATAAAATATACACCAAGGTGGTATCTCGCTGATGAAGGACATTAACAATTTTTTTTTCTTTTTCAGGAAGTTACCAAAGGACCATCTGATGTGGACATTTGTTTTTTTTTTTTCCTCAGATTTTATTACTGTCGGCCATTTATATAACTCTATAACACCATCTTATCCTGTTTCCTCCAGATCTCTGGATCACTTTGCCATTTGCCTGCTGCACCAGATCAGCCACCATGCCTCGGGGTCAGAAGAGTAAGCTCCGTGCCCGGGAGAAACGCCGCCAGGCCCAGGAAGAGTCAGAGGATATGGTGGGTATTCAGCCCTCTGCAGGAGTGGGAGAAGGGTTCTATGCCCCTTTTTCTCCTCTTGGTATTTTCCAGAACTCACCTACTGCTGCTTTATGTTGCAACCCACAGGGTCCTCAGGAAGCCCCGGCTGAGGGTGCTACTGCTGCAGCTGTTTCATCTGTGACATCTGATGAGAGCACCAGCACCCAAGAAGGTGTTGCAAGACTACCCTCACGGAACCCAACAGTTACCGAGCCCTTCCGCAGGGGCCCAATAGATGAGAAGGTGGTTATGATGGTGCATTACATGCTGTACAAATATGAGATGAAAGAGCCCATTAGCAAGGGGGATATGCTCAGAAATGTAATCCAGATGTACAAGAATCACTTCCATGAGATCCTCAGAAGAGCTTCTGAGTATCTCGAGCTGATCTTTGGCCTTGACCTTAAGGAAGTGGATCCCAATAGGCATATCTATGTCCTTGTTAACAAGTTAGAACCAACCTACGATGGGAGGCCGAGTGAAGTAAAAGTACCCAAGACAGGTCTGCTGATGACTGTCCTGGGTGTCATTTTCACCAAGGGCAACTGTGCCACTGAGGGGGATGTGTGGGAAGTCCTCAATATGATGGGGATATATGATGGGAGGAAGCATTTCATTTATGGGGAGCCCAGAAAGCTCATCACGCAAGATTTGGTGCGGGAAAATTACCTACAGTACCGCCAGGTGGCTGACAGTGATCCCCCACGTTATGAATTTCTGTGGGGCCCACGAGCCCATGTGGAAACCAGTAAAATGAAAGTCCTAGAGTTTCTGGCAAAAATCCACGATACTACTCCTAGTGCCTTCCCAGTCTGGTACGAAGAAGCTTTGAAGGATGAGGAAGAGAGAGCTAAAGCCAGAGCTGCAGCCAGGGCTCGCAATGCTGCCAGAGCAGATGCTCGTTCCAAGTCCAGGGGCGGCAGCTCCTCCCATACCTTTAATAAAATCTAAGGCACATGCATTCCACTGATGTTAAGAAGAAAAAGTTCATTTGCTTAATAGTAGAAAGTTAAGGTGGGGTTGAAGAAATGCAGTATTTAGCGTGTGTGTGCCTGCTGTAGCTTGCTAAGTGTTCTCTAAGTATCTATAAAGTAATGCATTTTAAATGGTTCTTCCTTTTCATAGACGGTTTCTGTTAGTTTCCAAATACTACTTTGTGAATAGCATTGCTCAAATTTTTGCTGTGTATGAGATTTTAAGAGTAGGAGATTATTATTTTAAATGAAATCAGAAAACTTTCCATCTTATTTCTGATTTGGAACATGTTAACATGCCAATGGCATTTCCTTGGAAATGTGAAAGAATGCAGCAGCAAAATAGTTGGCATCAAGGAATAGAGAGAAAAAAATGTAAGAGATTTCCAAATGTATTCTGTAGTCACTTTTATTCTGTTGCTTAAGATTAAATAACATATGACTAGATATATGCAGATGATCCAAGAATGTAAAATTAGTTACCTAATAAATTAGACATCTTACACACTGTCTCGTTTATTTTTCAAACACTCCTTGAGCACCTTTTCTTTGGGAGGTTCTGTGTTAGTACTGGGAATGGCAGGATAAAATAACCAGTGACCCCATAGAAAATTGAGAGTCTAGCTGCTGCATCAGGAAGATGTGAGTTATGTCCTAATATCTAAGGGCAAGTCAAAAGAAGAAAGAGGACAGGGGGGCGGGGAGCCAGATGAGAACAAGTCTAAATTCCCCAAGGCAAATGGGTTTGGGGTATTAGGAAATTGCAAGTCCCTTCCAAGGGAGTCAAAGTTAAGCTGGGACCCCCCCTGGTGGTGCAGGGATAAAGTCTCTGCCCTATCAAACTATCACCAACCTCTGCACCATGAGTTCGATCCCCGCCCCGGAGATGACCCACAAGGCACATCAGACCTCTCCTGTCTCACCCGCTGCCCCCCTAAGCAGTGTGTTCCCATAAACCTGCCTGTTCCGCTCCCCATTCTGCCTCTGGTGAATCCTCTCACCCCCCCAACTCCCACACTTCTGGCATACACCCCAGTTCGTGTATGCATAAATAAATCTTTAAAAAAAGTTAAGCTGGGGCTCTCCCTGGTGGTGCAACAGGTTAAAGCCCCGCACTATGAAGCTCTCTGCAGCCATTGCAGCATGAGTTCAATCCCCAGCCAGTGAGCACAGCACAGCACACGGCACAGCAGATCTCTCCTGATCCGCCCACTCTACCCTCAGTAGTGTACTTTGTCAGTCTGCCTGTTCTGCTCCCCATTCTGTCTATGTGAGTCCTCTCACCCACCACACCTCTGGTCTATACCCCAGTTCTGTAAGCATAAATAAATAAATCTTGAAAAAAAAAGCTAAGCTGGGTGTCAGGTCAGATAAGGTTTGGGAGTGGTGGACAGGGGCAAGAACTTCAGAGGGACTGTCATCAAACCTGGAAAGAGAAGCTGCTTCCAGCAGCTAATTTTGGGTCATGGATAGACCAAAGAGAAATCTCCTCCTGTGATGTCCTGGGCTTTTGTCCCAGTTCAGGTGAATATAGTCTACAAACTAAGTGTTTTACACACCTGTGGTCCAGGGAGTCTTTTGCAAATAAGGAGATCATTGTCTTAATATAGAATGTTTGGAAGCAAGTGGGGTGGCAGAATTTGCCTTGGGATGGCAGGTAAAGCTCACTATATTAATAAGTTTTTTTTTTTTTTAATTTTGGTTTTCTTGAGTGCAATTCGGAAAGGTCAAAGTGAGAGATACATGTTTTGATGAGAGTGAACCAAATAGTCCTTGATACATTTTCTGTGAACTTAATGTGCATCTAGCTGGAAAAACATCCCAATCTTACAATAACACCTTTGAAACATTCCATAGTAGGTAACATTGAGTTACTTGCATCATGATGGCTGACTGGATGTGTTATATCCTAGAACTCCCCACAGGTGGTGGGTGAAGAAGGAGCCAGGAAATCCCTGTATAGCTGCTCTCTGCAGAAGTTGAATCTTACAAACCCACTAGTCTTTTCAGGAAGTTAGAGTAGTTTTCTATGCTTGCCTTAATAAATTACCAAAATGTAGTGGTTTACAACAGCACACATTTATTCTCTCTGTAGGTGTTATTATCTCCATTTCTGTCGGTGTAGAGACAGGGTAACTCTGCAGGATTCTGTGCTAGGATTTTCTCAAAGCCCGAATCAAATCTTCTACAGGCAGGCATCTTATCATGAGCTTTGGGGAGAATATCCTTCCAAAATCATTCAGGTTGTGGGCAGAATTCATTTCCTTAAGGTTATAAGACTAAGGGCCTGGGCCCTCCCTGGTGGTAAAAGGGGTTAAAGCACAGCACCATGAAGTTATCTGCAGCCCCTGCAGCACCAGTTTAATCCCCAGCCAGGGGGTAAATCCACATGGCACAGCAGACCCCTCCTGTGCTCCCCTCAGCAGTGTATTTCAGTCTATCTGCCTGTTTTGCTCCCCACTCTGTCTCTGGTGAATCCCCTCACCCCCTGGCACCTCTGGCCTGCACCCCAGCTCTTGCATGTACAAATAAATAAATCTTTAAACAAAAACACTAAGGCCCCTCTTCTTTACTGACTGTCAGCAGGAGCTGCCATCCTTTCCCCAGGCCTCTCCCTGTATTTTTGAGCAAGCAATTAAGCATGAAATCCTTCTACTTAGCATCTTTCTAACTCTCCCTCTGTTTTATCTCTCCTCTACTTCAGTAGGAGAAAGATATCTGCTTATAAGGTCCATGATATGAAATTGAGCCCACTTGTTATAACTTTGTTTTCTCAGAACTTCTCTAAGAATGAAAAGACCTTGTGTACAGTTTTTAAGGGTTGCACTTTCTTCATTTCCTTCCCTTCACATGTTTCAGGAGGGAGCTCATGTGCTCATCAGCATGGTATTTTGCTCTCCTCCCTGGGCACCTGGGAACAACATATTCCCCTGCCCACCAGTAGTGAGAAAGCATCGGATGGCAACCCGAATGGCAACAGAAACAACGACTGTTAACTGCAAGCCAAGTCATCTCAGAGTTAGGATTTCACTTTTATGCTTCCTGCCACAGTCAGCAGAAATAAAGAGATCCTAGGTCAACATGTGAGCACACAGGTTGGGAGCAGCCTGGATCTCTGGGTCATTGCACACTGCTGACCACCCGCCAACAGCAGGCCTATCTGTACAAGAAATACATTTTGGTAATGTGAAGCCATTAAGATTTCATGCTTCTCTCACTCCATGGACCAGCAGTTACTTTATCTGAATATAACACACCACTACTATTTCTGTTGTTAGCCTTGCTGGAATATACTTATTATACAAGAAAACAGTGCATGTATTATTGACGCTAAAGAATTCTAAAAGTAAAAATAAACCACAATGCTGCCTCCTTACTTCAGTAGTCCTCTGAAGTTTAGTTTCTAGAAGTGGCCACCAATAAAAATCTTCTGTGTATGTTGGTTTATTCTAGACTTTTTCTTACATACATGTGTTAGAAAAATACCCTGCCCGTAGACTGCCTTTAAAACGTGCCTAGTGACCACATTGAGACAAACTCCCCAGGTAGCATCACACAGGAAGGTTGCATCTGCACTCCAGCTTTCCAGAAGTCTCTCTTTTGTACCCCGTCCACACCGCACCTCACTTGTGAACAGGAACTTTATCAGCCTTGCTAGATCACAGGTTCTTGGGTCATTTTTGCACTTCCGCCCTCATCTCCTGGTGCTTTTAACAGACATGGTCTGAGATGAAGGTGGACGAGCAACATGTGGAAGCAGAAGGCAGGAAATACTGTTCAGTTGAGGAGAAACAAAGCCGCTCTCATGGGAGAAACTGAACCACAAGTTTTTTCAGTGGGGGTTCAGGAAGCATGGAATTCCTATCATGAACGAGGACATCTTCTTGGAATACAGTATCAAGCCCTGGAATAGAATACTGAAATAAACTGGCATAGTGCTCACTAAGTGCAATGATATGCCTTTTTTTCTGACCTTATCATTTTCTGATGCCCTATTATGTAAAGACAGCTTTTCATCTCTATTTTTCAGATGAGGAAATTGAAATACAGATAATTTGTTGAAATTGGAAAGGTACAATAAAAAAAGAAAAATATAGGCCAGAGGTGTGGGGGTGAGAGGATTCACCAGAGACAGAGTGGGGAGCAGAACAGGCAGATCGACTGAAACACACTGCTGAGGGGAGCAGCGAGCAGGTCAGCAGAGGTCTGGTGTGCCATATGGGTCAGCTCCCTGGCCAGGGATGGAACTTGTGCCACAGTGGCTGTGGGCAGCTTCATTGTGATGCATCTTATCCTGTTGCACCACCAGGGAGGGCCCTCATTGTCAATTTTTTTAAAGAATTCTGAAATTCTAATCCAGTAAAGCTGCACCAAGTCATATACTCACAAGTTAACTTATCTGAGCACCTTACATCCCATAGATTTTTAATTGCAGCAATTTTAAATTTGGGGTAATTTTTTGGGCTATAATTATATTATCCCAATTTCATTTTAATTTGTTGTTTTTTTTTTGTTTTATAATTAACAAGAAGAAAAATAACGTAATGTCTCACTCATATGAAGCAGGATTTCTGCAGGGGTATCCTAATTACCAGGATACTTCTGGGTACACATATGTCCTGAGTGTGGATGTGACTTGAAAGGCAGTTCACATCTAACCCCAGCTCAGACTGCCTCCTTTGGTTCCTGACTCCTTTGCACACCAGAGAGCAGATGCACATGAGCTGTTCGGTGACCTATGTTGCTACCAGACACTGACCCTATTACGGGCTGGCCCACACAGCAAATATTTACAGGGTGGCTGGAGAACCATATTTGGTATACTTTCTTTTTAGACTGACTGAAGGTGACAAATAAGTATGCAGTCCAACACTCCTATGTAAATTCCAAGGAAAACCCCCCACCCTGAGAATAAAGTCAACCTCACAGGGTCCCAACCCTGTGCCAGCCCTGACGGACCTCGGGCAAAACTAGTGCAGGAGTATTATACCTTCACCCTTAGGTTCTCAGGGAAGTGAACATATTAGTCTGAAGGGAGTAATGTCAATAATGTTCACTGAATAAAGTGCTGGCTTGTGGCTTTCCCCTCAAGTAAAGACCCCGAGTCAGAATTGAGGAACCATTCATCTCAAATTGGAGCGGCTTCCTGAAAGTCCCACTCCTGTATCAGCCTAGGAAGAACCCAAGGAGTCTTAGAGGAAGCAAATCGGAATCCTCTGAAGTAGTGCTCTCTTGAGGACAATCGAAAACACCCAACAGAGGACGGAAGCAAAGGCAGTAAGGGCTACAGTGATGACTTTCAACCAGCAGGGGGACATGCCCCTGGTCTAAATGGGAGTAAAAGCAAGGATCCGCAGTGAGGTCTGCGGGAACCAACCTCCCACACCGTAGGGGGCCTCATCGTGCCCTGCCCCTGCTATCAGCCCTGGGAGATCCCACTGGAGAAGTCAGAGACGTGACGCGCTCATTCTGCCTCTGGTGTGTGAGCGTACGGAGGCCTGAGGTTTGTGGAGAGAGAAGCTCCTGTCCCTGTCTGGAACTGAGGTAAAAATCCTGAAGTAGCCTTAAAGGGACCTGTGAATCTGTACTAGAGAAGCTCCCAGAGAGTTCCGCCCCTGCCGGAGCCCGGATAGAATCCAAGTGGGAATTCTCTAAAAGTAGTGAGCTCCGGGGTCCTTCTACATTTCCTCTGAAGGGACTAAGGAGGAAGAGGGCACTGGACCAGGGTGTTGGCTTCAGTCTAGCAGAGGAACGGGTTCCAAACCTAATGGGAGTAAAAACAAGATCCCCTCAGTAAGCCCCTCCCCCATCCTCAGAAGATAGTGCGCATCGCGGAGCTCTGCCTGTACTTTTGGTCTCAGAGAGAGGTGGGGCTAGATTGAAATTATGTATTAGTCCCTCACTTTTGTCTGTGGTATTTCAGGGGGAGCCAATACCTTAGGTGTGTGTGGGGGGAAGGGGTGGTGGGGGGTTGGGGGGAAGACGCATTAGGTCAGGAGTGGTTGCCCCGGACCCAGCAACAGAGTGAGGACCCAGAGTGAGGTTTTAGGGCTCTGCCAGGCCCCAAGAAAGCAAGCCTCACAATGTCCCAGGAATTGCAGTTAGTCCTAGGAAGCCTTCAACAAGAGACTGGCGCTCTGGTTGGCTCTCACACTGTCTTTGGGCAATCTCAGAAAGCTGAAGCGTGAGCTGAGTACTTGGCCTCAGACCACCTCTTGCATCCTAGCTTAGATTCAGTGAATGTGGAACAGGTATGTTAGGCTGAAAACCTGCCTAACTTTCTTTTCAGGACATTCAGGGATAGGAGAGCCTTGTTAGTAGGTATAGGGCTTAGGTTTGCAGGTGTTAGAGTCCCAGGTCCTACCAGAAGTGACAATAAGGGCCCTGATTGCGAGATGAAATACACCACATCCCCCAATTACCCCTGGATGGAGGGGATCTCACAGAAATAAAGGTGGCCCTTTGTTCTCTGGCCCTCCCCAGCACATGTGGTAAAATGCAGTTCCCCAGAGTTACTCCTCTGCTTTCTCAGAGTGATGAAGACTGAAATGAGGGGTCAGCATCAGAAGAGTAGCATAGGAAGCACAAGGCAGAAGCAAGTCAGAGAACAGGAGTCTGGCAGCGTCTTAGAGCAGGCATCGAGGCTGCGGGGAGGCACGGCGTGTCCATGTGTTGAAGTGGTCCAACTGCATCCTTGTGACTTCAGGTCCATTTACCTGCTGCCTGTGCCAGAAGTCACCATGCCTCGGGGTCAGAAAAGCAAGTGCCGTGCCCGGGAGAAACGCCGCCAGGCCCAAGAAGAGCCAGAGGATATGGTGAGTGCCAGGCAACAGTGATAAGGTTCTGTTCCTGTTCCTTTTCTAAGAGCTCACCTACTGCTGCTTTATATTGCAATCCACAGGGTCCTCAGAGAGCCCCGGCTGAAGGTGCTACTGCTGCAGCTGCTTCATCCGTGACATCCAGAGAGGGCGGCAGCTTCCGAGAACGTGCTGCAAGATCCTCATGGATCCCAACATTCACTGAGTCCATCCGCAGGGGCCCAATAGATGAGAAGGTGGTTATGATGGTGTATTACATGTTGTATAAGTATGAGATGAAAGAGCCCATTAGCAAGGGAGATATGCTGAGAAATGTAATCCAGATGTACAAGTATCACTTCCATGAGATCCTCAGAAGAGCTTCTGAGCATATGGAGCTGATCTTTGGGCTTGACCTGAAGGAAATGGATCCTAAAAGGCACATCTATGTGCTTGTTAATAAATTGCAGCTAAGCTATGATGCAAGCCTAATTGATGAGTCAGTGGTGCCCAAAACAGGTCTGTTGATGACAATTCTGGGTGTGATCTTTACAAGGGGTAACCGTGCCACTGAAGAAGAAATCTGGCAAATATTAAATGTGATGGGGATATATGATGGGTGGGAACACTTCATCTATGGAGAACCCAGAAGATTCATCACCCATGATTTGGTGCAGGAAAATTACCTAGAGTACCACCGGGTGGCTGACAGTGATCCCCCACGTTACGAATTTCTGTGGGGCCCACGAGCCCATGTGGAAACCAGTAAGATGAAAGTGCTAGAGTTTTTGGCAAAAATCCATCGTACCACTCCTAATGCCTTCCCAGTCTGGTATGAAGAAGCTTTGAAGGATGAGGAAGAGAGAGCTAAAGCCAGAGCTGCAGCTAGGGCTCGTTACGCTGCCAGGAGAAATGCTCGTCCCACCGCCACAGATAGCAGCTCCGGTTCCTTTAGTGAAGTCTGAGGCACATTTATCACTATTGTTAAAAAGAGAAGTTCATTTGCTCATTAGAAGAAGTTCATAGTGAGGCTGAAGAAATTGTGTGCCGTGTTTGTGTTCAGATTCAACATGTTAACTACCTAATTTTTAAAACTGTCTTCCTTGAATGGAAGATTTCATTAACTTGAAAATCCAAGTTTATCAATGGCATTGCTCAAAAAATGTTCTGTATGAGAGTTAATAATAAGAGTTTTATTACTTTGTAAAACATGTTAGGTAGCTTTTATTTAGTAGTTTGGAACAAGAAAATATTGTTAGTTAATTAATTCTTTGAACATGTCAAAAAACTGCATTGTAAGAGCTGGGGTCAAGAAATGGAGGAAAAATAAAAGATCATAAATTGGTTTCATTCATCACTTTTAGTCTGCTATTTTGTAACTAAATATAGGTGAATATAATTAGCTTATCCTAGAGTGCAAGAGAAACTGATTTGCAATAAATTAGACATTTTTCTCTGAGGCCCACATTTTTCTCCAACAACAATCAAATATCCAGATGTCTATAAGAGGTTCCGTGTCAGTACTGAAAATGCTAAATGAACAAGAATGCTCCTTGCACATCGAACTGAAAGCCCTGAAGCAGTCAGGATATTAGGAATGTTCAGACATATGCCGCTGGACCACAAGGGCAAGTCAAAAGATAGTGTGGGGATGCTATGTAGCAAAAGACTCTGGGAAAATGCAAGGAAACAGTTTGAGTTCATTTAAACCTAGATGGTAGGTCAGAAGGTCCTGTTTGAGTGGTACGCAGGGATCAGAGACCTCAGGTGATATGTCTCAGATTGAAAGTCCAAAATGGAAAAGGGCTTTTAGATCTTCAAGATCATTGATAAAGCAAGAGAAGTTTTCATAGAAGCAGGATGGAAGAGGGCCTATGCTCTCGACGGGGCACAGAATACAGTCTACAAATGGGTGACTTGTACAGATTACAAGCTGGTGCTTGCTTGAGAAACACGGGTGCTACTCTCATGAAATGAAATATTCACATCATTATGTGAAATCTTCGCCATGGGCTGGCAGAGACTTTGCTGATCCATTAAATGGGTATTTTAATTTTAATAAGGGGGTTGATTTTAATTAGGTTATCTGGAATGTAATTTAGTAAAACAAAAACTAGAACTTGATTTTTGATGAAAGTGAAATAACTGCCAATATGAGTGCCTTGAATGTAATGGACAGTGGACATTCTCTGACATTTCTAGACTCAAACAATAATTCACATGGTGAATTATTTGGTTTGTATGTTTTAGGGTAAAAAAAGTATAAAGTGAAATATACTCAGGCCCAATACTGTTCCAGAGTCTTGCATACATTAGATCCAACATTCTCCTTGCAAGATCTAAGTGAGCCAGGCACAAGAAGGCAATCAAACCCATTTCACAGATAAAGAATCTAAGAGACAAGAAATTTACAGTTTTCCCATGAGCACCTGGCTTGTAATAGCCAGAGCAGGGACTAGAGCCCTGGGCTAAATTCCTTTCCAGCCCATGGTTTTCCACTTTTCACTGCCTGAAGCCAATCTTAAGTCATTTCTTTTGTCATCATTCCACAGTATCTCCCAGGAAATAAAAATAACCATCAGGTAATATGCTAAACACAGGTATAATTAATAAGATGAAAATGAGAGTCAGGCCCTAAGTGGAAACTGTGTGGGGGTTGCAATTGTGTAAGGTCACCTGTTCCTATAAACATGTTTCCTTTAGAGCCTACATGCTGACACGTGGGAATAGTTCCAGCACTTCCAAGGTCACGCTGCTCCTCCCCAGGGCCTCCCCGCAGTAACCCTCACGTCCACATCTAGAACCTGAGCTGCTTTCAAGCTCCCCTCTACCTCCTCGCTTAGGACCGCACTCCCATGAACAGCAAGCCCAGAATCACAGGCTTTCCCTCTGACCCAAAGCATCCGGCTCTTTGCAGCTGTCACCTGAGTGTCCCACCCCTGGCCACGTACCCGTGGACCTTGGCGGTGAAGCGCAGCACCTGCTCTGCTCTGGGCACTTCCACCACTCTCAACAGTTTTCTAAATCGGCTCGTGAGCGCAGTGGGTTTGGCACAGGACCTGCCAGTTCTTGCAAGATAACTCTGGATTTGGAGAGGAGGTTTCAGAAAGCAGATGAGGCCAGTCAGTGACAAAACAGACTTCAATGTGGTGAAGCATCTGGGCCCGGCCACTGCCTCCACAGGCTGATCACTAAGCCTGATTATAGGGCTGGGCCCAAAGCTACCCTCCCAGGTGATAGATGCAGAACCCGGGAAATCCTGAGTAGCAATTATCTGTAGAAGCTGCATGCTTGAAAACTCCGGTGCCTTCCAGGAGGATGCAGTATTTTTCTACTGCTGGCATAACAAGTCGCCATACATCGAGGAACTCAGAACAACACACATCATTATCTCACATTTCTGTAGGAGAAAAATATAAGTTGGCTGTGCTGTGTTCCTTGATCAGGGTTATACAAAGCCCAGAACAAGCTGTCAAAACGTGGGATCCTACCAGGAAGCACTAGGAACTCTATCCAACACTTATCCAGGTTGTCCCCCAAATCCAATTCTACGATTCAGATATTTGAAATTCTAAGAATAAAGGCCTGTTTTCTTTTTGAATATGAGCTGGAACTGCCAGAAATGCTCCAGGCCTCCGTCCACCCCTGTGAGTGGAGCCCTACTTCAGAAACAGCAGATAGAATCTGTGTTGGTGTGTGTGCAGAAGCTCTCGTACATCCCCTCAGCTGCATCTCTCTTTTGCCTGCACCCGAAGTTCCTGCTTGTAAGGAAGGGATCATGTCTTAAGAGTGGGGCCACCCAGGTGACTCTGTACAGTCTTCCACTTTAACATCCACTTGATAATTTTAATTGCATATGGAATGTCCCTCTGAACATGTATCAACACATTCACAGGTTTCAGGGGTAATAACATGGCCATTTTTGTGGAGTTGTTTTTCAGTTTACCAGAGATAGAAAATATCTTCTTAGCAGAAATGGCAGATTTTATATGAAAAAAAAAAAAAATAGTTCAGCACCATTTTCCTGACTCTTGTCTATATCTGCCCTGGAGGAAAATCTTTTTTTTTTTTAAAGATTTATTTTTTTATGCATACAAGAACTGGGGTACAGGCCAGAGGTGCAGGGGCAGTGAGAGGACTCACAGAGACAGAGTAGAGAGCAGAACAGGCCGACTGATGAAATACACTGCTGAGGGGAACAGTGGGGAGAGAGGAGAGGTCTGCTGTGCCATGTGGGTCAGCTCCCTGGCCAGGGATCGAACTCATGCTGCAGTGAGTGGCTGCAGACAGCTTCACAATGCTGCACTTATACATTTTGTGCCACTAGGGAGGGCCAAATCCTCATTTTTCAGTGTTCAACATTCAGTTATGTTTAACAGGTGATAGGGAGTAGAAACTTCCAAGTTGTCTTTTTGCCCACGTAGTCAAAAGAAGAAATGTGAACAGGTCAGTATAGAAGGGGGCTTTTGAGTGAGGAAGCGTGAACCTTCCCTATTGAGACTTACAAGATCATTTGGGACCAGCCACCTCCTCCATGGGCTGATCACTAAGCTTGATGATGGGGCTGGGCCCAAAGCCTCCCTCGCAGCAGAACCCGGGGAATCATTGGTGGCAACTATTACAGGGGCTCTATCTAACAGGCCCAGAGTCCTTCCAGGGATTTGTACTAGTGCTTTACAGCTGCCATAACAAATTACCCGAAATGTAGAACACCGGCATTATTTATCTGTGAGAAATCCAAGTTGTTTCTGCTTTCACTATTCTGGGTTTCACGAAGCCAAAGTCTACTTCCAGACGGGAGGCCTCTTAGGAAGAGCTCTGGGAGGAACATCCTTTCCAAGATCATCAGATTGTGGACAGGATTCAATTTTTTTCTTTCCTTTTTCATGCTTGACACACTAGCAAGTATTCACTAAACATCAGTTCTCTATACTGTTCTCAGATCCATGGACCAACAAGCTTCTTCCACCACATGGTGGAATAGGAGGCTTGATAACATCCCCAAAATACAAATAGAGAAAAACATATTTCGCTCACAAAAGTATCACTAGCTCCATGCTACTAACGGGGAGCAGCCATGTGCATAGCTTGCTCTGAGATTTATGACTCACTGATGGAGCAGAGCAGCTAAGAAGTAAAGAATTGAGGTCAGGCTAATAGCCACAGCAGCCAGACAAGCCAGTCTGGGTCCGGACAACGACTGAGCCAGGCACATAGACCTTTTGTTCAGAAACTCATGCAATAAGAAGTGAATGCAACCTTGCCCACCAGTGCTGGGGCTGTTGAGTGCAGTGTGGATATTGGCTACCAGCCATATAATCAGGGAGCTCCCTCCACCTTTCCTGTGGGCAATGCTGAGATATGTGTTGTTTCCCATCTAGAAGGAACTGTACACTCTGCCAAAATCAGTATATGCCATATCCACACCTGCACTACTTGTTTTGGGACAGGTACCAAGCATGGGTGAAGATATTACATAAGGCAACAAAATCGGGAGACATCAAATGGCATAATGGACAGAAATAATATGTAACACATAAAAATATAAGGCTTCAAGAGAGCAAAACATCACAGGTGAGAACAATGCTCCAGAAGCCAAATGCAAAATGAGAGTAGACTATATGTCCCGGTTAGAGTTTAGAATTGATTGAAGAAACTCGAGGAAACAGAATAATATAACTCAGAAAGGCAAATCAAAGAAATGCAAGAAAATTCATTAAAGCTATTCAAAGAAATACAATGAAATTCAGGAAAACAAGTTAATGAATTCAAAAATAGTCAATGACAAAACTATCATTATTTTCAGATGGCACGATTGTATATATGTAGAAAAATTTTAAAGTCTACCAGAAAGTATTAGAAACAATAAATAACTACAGTAAAGTGGCAAGCTACAAAAGCTATCTACAAACACCTGTTGCATTCTTATATACAAATAAAAAATTCCTATATGCAAATAAAGAAA